TCCTCAACTGGATAAAAAAACCGGATCGTGCGCATAGTAGCTACATGCTAGCATGCCTTTATACAGAAAATGGTACCTGCTGGTGACAGAGCAGACTTGGATTCTAAGGCAAGCCAGGCCTTCTTCAAATCCCAGTTTGTAGTGGAATTCTAGAATATACAAACGCATATGATAGATTTAAAGGAAATAAGTCTTGAAGATTATCAATAAATCTTACATAACAGTTTCATCTACCCTAGATCGGATAAGGTAATTAAGCAATGCTAGTTGAATTTCAGCACAATCATATGAGTCGGCTCCACGCTACATCTTGGAAATCTGGTCGATAGGTATCTTATCATTTCATACAGTCATCACATGGCCATCATTTTATTCATACATTTGTAAGAAATCTAATTTAGTTTTTACGGAATTTCTGTTGTAGGTGAACGAAGTTCTCTACTTTAACGCCATCCTGGCTCCAAAAGAATCGCGTGCAAAATGGCGAGCAACGCAAGTGTGGAAAGAGTGTGACCGCGACGTGATCGAGAAACTCGCTTGTCAGACGCCGGGCTCGGCGAGCGGTCGTCTGAAGCGGAAAAAGCTATCATTACCCGTCGGCTCAAGCGTCAGCGCCCTCTCAAGTGGAGCAGCCGAGGCGACGGACAAGCCCGATGGATTCTGCTTCATGACCGATGTCAGAGCCTCCATGGCAGATGTGACTTGCGGTGACTACACATCGTCTATCGGAGCCTCGGAACACGGCGAGGATAACGAGTCCCGCGGTGACGAGCAGCAGGCGATAGCCGTCACTGGCAAAGCAGGTAAACTGTCGACGTCTAGTGGCCAGGTCACCGGCAAGTCTGTGAACGAGATGTTGGAGCGTCAGGACTTGCTGAATAGCCTGGAACTGGACGACAACGACCTCCTCCTCGAGAACGAAGAGGCCCAGTTGCCTGGGAGCCGGGTGTTGAAAGAGGAGAGTCATTTAACGGTGTCCACTGACTCCGACCTGGAACTGGACGACGTCGATTTGGACGACGACGATGAGGAGGAGGAAGAGGAGTCCTTGGTCTCGGCGCTAGCTCGCGAAGAAGGCCTCCACTTGGCGAACGACATCAAATTTCTATCGGACTCCGTCGAGGACGGGCTGGAGCGCATCCTCTGCCCCGCCTCGACGGCAGTCACCACTAGGCCATCATATCTTCATTCACAGGCCATCAAAGCCTACGTCATGGAGCAACAGGTGGAGCCTGGGCTACCTGATCACCTCTTCCCCGACCTGACCACGTTGAAGTTGAAAGGAGGCGCCTGCCAGGGCGTCCCTCTGCCGCTCGGGGAGAGAAATCTGACAAGGACACAATCAGAGCCTAACGCCTGTATGCCCAGTGCCTGTCTGTCCGTCAAAGGCATGAAAACCGCGGTGACCGATGACGTCTCCACAGTCACGGCCACGACTGCCACAGCCTCGAAGATGGTGGCGACGTCGTCTGTCGAGACACAACGAGACCGACGAGGCAATTGTTTGGGCGACGTCTCGTCGTCCACCTGTTCAATAGGGCCCCGTGATGATGGCTCATTTGTCCTACCGACGGCGTCAGGCGCGCTGGCAACCGCCGAGACCGCAATGTCCGCGCCGGCCGAGCTTCTGGCGGCCTATTCGGACCGCAAAGATTCTGCCGTATCTATCGCTGTCCAGACCCTTTCGACGGGCGACATCATGGCAACCCAAATCTTTCATGATAGCATGAGCACTCTAGTCTGAGCTTGTCTACTTGGCTCCCTTTTGCCCACAAGCTAGTTCGGCATGTCCTAACG